CAAGTTACAGCAACATAACTAGAACTGCAACTCATTTTCATTATTGATGAATCTCTCGACTATTTTCTAGATTAAATCAATTGGCCTGTAAATTAGAGTAAAAAGTGAAACATTTCCATGCAAGTATCCACAAATTCCTAGATGAAAATGGGATGAGTTCGAAACTAGGGATGGGAACGATTAATCGAATATTCAAAATTATTCAGGTATCGGATATGAGAAAATGAGTTATGAATATTTGTTATTGTAATTTTTTTTGGAGGGGTGTCTAAGTTGATTACATATGATCAAATGGAATATTCAATGACAGTGCCATAGCTAAGTGTGTTAGGTCTAAAGGTGTGTTTAGCTCCGCTCACCTGTCCCTCACAGCGGGCAGAGCTGCAGGTGCTGATCTCTCTCTCGTGTTTATGTCCAAATCCATCAGATCTAGCTAGTTCTAGCTAATGATATGGCTGCTGCCCCTTCCTACACGCAGATCACGCAGACTCAAACCTCATCTTATGCCCAAATCCCAGCTGAGAGGGTCTTCTCTACAGCTGGCCTGATTGTGAATCGTCTCCACACCCGCCTCTCCCCTGAGTAGACATGCTCATATTCTTAAACAAGAATGAGTATTGAATACCTGCATTCTGTGCATAGGCCCTGTTGTAGGTCGTTGATCTCTGTTGTAATAGGGTTACGTTACCCTAACCCGTTATGTTGTCCGTGTTACGTGTAGGATCCCTCTTTCATTTAAAAACCAAGTTATGTTTTAAGCATGAAAGCTGTAGGCCTATGGCTGTCAACTGTTCAAACTGTGATCACCAGTTCAATACATTTGACAAATTCGACTTGGTTTCTATACTTATTTGAACATGTATTATTTTATAGGATATGTACATTTTGGTTAATCGGTTAACCGTTTTTTTGGGGGTCGAATATTCAAATATACATTTGCTTTAAAATTCCCATCCCTATTCGAAACCCAGATATGTAGTTTAATATAATCTAACAAATAAAATCTAAATCTCCTTGTTTTGAAAGGCTGAAAACAGCATTTTCTAACAGGCTTTTCTAAACAATTTTACATTTCTCTGAAATGCTTTGAATTGATACCATTACTTTCCCTAGTAATATGTCTGTGTTATTATACCTTAGCTATTTTTAAAACAATGTTTACACTGATGAAATAAATGTTTTGGACCATAAATCAACCAATCACCGGACCTGGGGGGACAGAGCCTTCTCCGTCGCTGCCCCCTCCCTCTGGAACTCACTCCCACAACCCATCAGAGACTGCACCGACCTCACCACCTTCAAAAAAACTCACAAAAACTCACCTCTTCAATCTGGCTTTTCATGTGTGATTGTTTTTGTATTATTTGACTTTAACTATATATTTATTTGTTGTTCCTTTCTTCTCTTTTCTTTTTTTCCTTCACTATTATCTGTAAAGCGTCTTTGAGCACCTGTAAAAGCGCTAACAAATTAAATCTATTATTATTATTATTATTATTAAGAAGTTGGGTGTTGGATTAGTTTAGTTTTTTTTTTAGCTTTTTTAGTTTCTGTATAATACATGAACACAGATTCAAGATGTGCCATTAATACACATTATAAATTCCTGTTTATTGTTTAATGTTTAGTGTGTGGGCCCCTATTCTACAGCTTGGATAGCTTTTTTAGGTGTATTTCATTTATGTATATCTTATGAATTGCATGACATTTTGTTTGAACAATGAATCGCTTATCACAATACTGTTCCAGCTCTAAACCAAAGACTAGACACTCTTAGGTATGTAGCATATTGTTCTCTTGGATTTGTCATTTCATCCAATCAGAGGAAAACAGCAGTAATGTGGACGCCATTGATGCAATCTAAATGATCATGAAAATCTTTTTAGCCAAGCTAGTAAAAAGAAAGTTGTGACATATCGTTAAGTCTTAACTCAGCAAAAAAGGCAGATGCGTTGCAAGAATGTTGTAACTGCATCTCTTCATTAATGCTACAGTGACAACGTGCTTGAACAACGTAATGCAAAATCTGCTGCTTCAACATACCGTTATAAATAAGTCTTACTCGGTAGTTTGCAAAGTTGTGGTTTCATACTTATCATGGCCTAAAAACACTACAAATCAAACTGCTTCTCTCAGAGCAATGTCAACGCCTCTAAAATGTTTACTGAGAAGTCACAAGACCAAGGACAATTGTATGACTAAATATACTCTATGTTATATGTTATATATATATATATATAAATTGTGCATGCACAAGGGACGCCATACGAAACCCAACAATGTGTATTATTGCAACCACAGCATTTCTCCAAAACAAAAGCAGGGTAAGGCTGCACAAATTGAGAATGTAAAACAAATATCCCTCTTGGCAGGTAGGTTTGTTTTTTACAATAATCTGAAGCTCACTACTAATGTCTACCTCCTCAGAAGTTGCAATGTGAATGTACTAAACAGGAAATAACACCAGGTTACAATACAAGTTTAGCTGTAAGGAGGAAACCCTAAGAATATCAATTCAGAAGTTTAAAAAAGGTAACTCTTATCCCCTATTAATCAACATGAATTATTTAACAGTCACATTTAACAACATCATTATCTGCCTAGGTGACTATTATAATAAAAAAGACAGGAGAATGTATGGAGACTGTACTTCAAATTATGTTCTACGTACGATAACACTTTAACTAATAATAATACAGTTATTCTTGTATTTAAAACAGTTGTATACATAATAAATCTGCTTGATGACATGATGACTGGGTCAACTTATTATAACAACGTCATTGTCAACACACTGCCAATAACATATTTTATTATCTTATAAAATAAATTGCTATAATATTATAACTATTTTCTTTTTAGATGGCAGTAATCAATACATGTATCAGTCAATGCTATTTGTTATGTCTACCTGTGCGGCCCCTTCCATACCTGTAGAACTGCTTTATTTTTATTTGGAACACACTTCTAACTGAAATGTCAAACCCTGCCTTTACCATAAACAAAACACAGCAGGGCCCTGACTCGAGCGTCCCTTCACTTTAACTATGCTAACTGGGTTAGCTATCGCAGCTAGCAGACGAAGTCAACAAGCATGCTAATATCTTTCTTGACAGCAGACTATAAGTGAAAGAAAGTCAATATAGAATGAAAACAGAAACACTATGTTGCTATACTGACTTGACATATTTTATAAGCCAGTTAATATAAAGTTTTCCAGTTTGCTAAGTTAGCCGGATAACTAGCTAGCTAACAGCCCTGAGAGAGAGCCTTGTTTTTGACTGCTCAGTCTTACCCTGTCTGCTGCGGACTCGGTGGGGGTGACAGAGCCAACAGCGTGCAAAAACAATCCCATGTTGAGAGCCGGACATATGCCTCTCATTCCTCCAAAAAAAGTGGCTACAGCTCCGACAAAAACATACGCACGCAAACAGTGTTGTTCGCAAACTATGCCCGAATATGTTCAACTGTTTCGCGGCCCCTGTGGCGCTGAGAGGCCGCTGGACGCACCGCCTCCTCTGGACATCTCACTCGGAGCTGGCGCTGGCTGTGTCGGTGCCACTGGCGGATACAGCTGTTAGACAAGCCGCTCCTCCAACACAGCCACTCGGTCGGCTGGGTGTGGCGTGGTCACCTCGACCCGATCCATGTGCAGTGCACAACGTGATGGGCGTGCAGTTGCGTGGATCGCCACTGGTTTTGCGGACTGAATCGTGATTGGACAGCCAAGCCCAGCTGGGGAGAGACTGACCAATCAGGGACCGGTGCGTCTCCAGTGCATGGCCTTGTTGTCTTTTTGGGTGCCCCTTCTCCAGTTTATGTGGAAAGTTATTTATTTCCTCATGACTTTTTAAATTTGGTATCCCCCCTTATGAGGCCATATTCAATGTAAAAATTAGTTTTTGATTGTAGGAAACGCCGGTCAAGTTAAATAGAATGTCACAGAACACAAGCCAGTAAATACTGCAGCGAGAACTGTCTTGTCGTTTCAGACTAAAGCTTGTAAACATAAAAAAATTCTATTGTGCAGTTCTGAAAAAAATTAAGCAAGACACAGGAAGATATTTTTAATTCCCTTTGTTTATTACCATAACCCACTTTTTTTTTTTTTAAATACAAAATATCAAGCATATATGTTAAAATGACTTTAAAAGACACATTTAATTAACTTGCAAATACATATATATATATTTCTATTCACCTCAAGTTGTATCCAGCCCTGCACATAGCTTTTTGATTAACCTGTTGAATTGCTTATATATTCACCTTTAAAACCTTTGATGTCAGCCTTGAATAATAGAAGTTTTACAATTTAATATTGATTAAACTTCAAAGCAACATTTATTTTTCATAGTGTTCCTGTTTAGTCAGCTTAATTCAGCTACCTTCTACACTGTGAATAATGAATGTAAGAAACTTTCCTTAAGAATTCAATTAAAAATATATTTTTTAAAGGGCTCTGGACCCTACAGCAAAATTACCAATATTTGTTTGTAATGGCGTGTCAGTAGGAGTTTCAGAGATGGATATCTCAACTTTGGTACACATCCCTTAAACAATCTGGAAGAAAAGATACAATTAGGGTTGAGTGTAAGAAAAAAGGTTCTTATGATTAAATGGTACATATCAATTCATCTGTAGAATACAATGGTATTCAAGTAAAACAGGGCTCATGCATGATCAGTTCAGCAGTAAAGCATTCTTAAAAATAGTTGTTTGGCCATAATTGCAGTTTGTCATCATCCATCCTCATGATTATTCTTTTAAAAACAAACAAAACATTGTGATTGGGGAAGCCTCACCAGTCCCTTTCATGGGGCTCTCTGTATGGTATGCCTAAAATACTAAAAACATCCTTCTCTGTCTTTGTAGTGAACGGAGTGCCGCCAAACACCTTTAAGCTACCCTGACGCACCACATCTTTGTTCAGCGAGTGTTCCGATAAACTCATTGTTTTTGTCTTTGCCATGGCTCTCATTGAGCGGTTGAAGTGTGCTGACCCGGTGAAATACATGATAGCACACGCAAACTCGTTGTAGGGCACGACGATGATGTCCAGCCTGCGATGGCGGTGGTCTGGCAAACGGCACACGCCCATGTACTTCTTCTGCTCTCCGTTGTCCTCGTGGCTCACCAGGTCGTCCGTCAAAAACCCTTAGAAATAACGTTTATTATTAAGGTTTCTCTTTAGGAGAGAAAACATCTTAGAAAGACATCAGGCGGTTTTTGAAGGTCACCTATTATGCAAAATCCTCTTTTTCATGTCTTTTATGCATCAACATGAGTCCCCTCTGTGTTAAGAGATTCTGAAAGTTTCAGGAAAAAATATTCTCTCTCTTTTTGTCCTGAACCATTTATATAAAAACCTGTCTGAAAATGAGCTGATTCGATTTTGGCCACTTTATGAAGTCATAGCGATGTTTTGGCTTGTGTAACCATTAGCCAATCACCAACCCCCACTTTATCACCTGAATCTCCTCCTAGAGCACCATTGTGTTCTTTTTAACCAAATATCTCTCAGAGCGGCGTGGGGAGGGGCTCCTTATTTTCATCTAAAGTAACAGACAGATAATCACCACTTATAAAACAGGGCTGAAACAGAGGGGTTTATGGGATGCTACAATGCACGATCTATTTAGCATTTCGAGTTCAAACACTTCAGAGACATGTTTTGTATATATCTGAGACCTATAATATATTGATGAAAAACAGTGTGACACCTAAAGAAGATGGAGCTTACCACTGTCACGGAGGCTCTGCAACAGTTTGCTGAAAACCCCTTTGTGAGATTTGCCATCAGTGTGAGTTATAAGTACGTCAACATCTCCACACGTGGATTTTCCCCGACGGTAGGAGCCACACGCCATCGATAACAGGCCTGGGTCTACTGCATGGACAGCATCCTTCACCTGCACATTAAAAGACAGAGAATACAGTGGGGCAAAAAAGTATTTAGTCAGCCACCAATTGTGCAAGTTCTCCCACTTAAAAAGATGAGAGGCCTGTCATTTTGATCCTAGGTATACCTCAACTATGAGAGACTAAATGAGAAAAAAAAAAATCCAGAAAATCACTTTGTTATATACCCTTTGTTGGCAATGACAGAGGTCAAACGTTTTCTGTAAGTCTTCACAAGGTTTTCACACTGTTGCTGGTATTTTGGCCCATTCCTCCATGCAGATCTCCTCTAGAGCAGTGATGTTTTGGGGCTGTCGCTAGGCAACACGGACTTTCAACTCCCTCCAAAGATGTTCTATGGGGTTGAGATCTGGAGACTGGCTAGGCCACTCCAGGACCTTGAAATGCTTCTTACG